TAAATGGTTAATTATTTAGTCTAGGTATTAAGTGTAGTGTGTGTGTGAAGTAGTTTTTAGCTTTCTCTAGGTTTTATTGTTTGCCTTAAACCAGTGGTTCTCAACTCTGGTTCGCCGCTCCAGGCCAGTGGGGGCCTGCACATCCCTCGGCCCACGCCGCTTTCTTCAGCCCCCATTGGCCTGGAGCGGCGAACCGCGGCCAGTGGGAGCCGTGATCAGCCGAACATGCGAATGCAACAGGTAAACAAACCGGCCTGGCCCGCTAGGGGCTTTCCCTGAACAAGCGGTGGACCAGAGTTGACAACCGCTGCCTTACACCATAGTGTGATGTGGGAACATAACCCGCTGGACTTAAAATTTTGGGAGTTCTGTGGGGCTGTTTAACCCATTAGTGACTCGCATTCAAGGTATTGTTACTGTTTACTTGGGAGACATGTTTAAATAAAAAGAGTAAGGACTGTAAAATAGTCACTAACGGGGCAACTAAATGTAGGGACAACAGGATGAATTTGTTCATTTTAGAGAAAGCTGTGAAGCCAGTCTTAGAACCAAATGGAAGACAAAATCTCCTAGTCCCAGACAGTCGTCAAAAAGGGTCCTGGCAACTGCATTATGTCCAGGCTCCGCCTGTTCCATCCTCTGTACTGCAAACAGTGACTGTCATTGCTCACCTCTGAAGTACAGAGGAAAATTCCCTCAAAAGACTTTCTCAGAAAAGAAAAGACAGTTGGTTCACCTCTTTCTATCTCCAGGAAGAAATAGTGTTCTGAAAGCAGCAACTGGCTCTTTATTTTGGCAGGAAGTAACTTGGAAAACTTGTTGACTGTTATCTGCACCCAAGCAGAGCACTGCTGCAGCTGTCAGTCTGCTGCAAGCACCTATGCTCTTGGCACTGGGTCAGTTCTCTCAGCTGCCTGCGGCATCAGCTTGTTTTGTGCCAGGCCAGTTACAGCCCCTACAGGGCTGACTTGCTTAAGTGCAGGCATACTCAGAGAAGCTGATGCTTGTACCTGTATCTGGAGGCTGTTGCTGCTTTTAACATGTCAGCTCTGGCTCTTCTAGCTGTAGAGCTACTAATGCCATTATTAATATTGCCAGGTCAACTTATGGAGCAGCACCACTTGAAACCAGTGTGTACAGCATGGAGTCATTTGGCAGTTTTCATGCAACCTGACCTGACTTTGTCAGGAGTTTCTGTTAATCAGGAAGTGCTTTCGAGGTCATCTGGGTGTTGTTGTGGTAGGCCTTTTTCAGTGGATAATTCTCAGATGTTTACACAAGCAGCTCCTTGCCCCCTTAAAATAAAGATCATGGGTATTCCTCTTTAAAGCTCTTTTCAGAGTTGGAATATTTTACCCTCTTACCCTTCAGTGTCTTTTTTTTGTGACCCATACATATTAGTGTGTCAGGTCAGATATGGGTAAAAACATGTTAGTTCAAAATCTCCTTCCTCTCCCCCCTCCCAAATCTATACTTGTTTTATCCATATGAACAAACTGCTTGGCCTCACTGGTCCCCATGGCCATATCCTAAATCAGAACCTCCTTCAGTTTCGGTTTCTAGCGTTAGATCTCCTTACCATAGGATCCACCTATCATGCAAAAGCATTCACAGCAATCGGTTCATATTACTGAGACAGACTCTTTCTCCATATCTGTCTCTGTATGAACGTATAAATCGGCAACAAGTTTCTGAAACAATTCCAGAGCATATTCCATTCTTTTCTCAGAATGAGGCTCTGGCTCTTCATCAGATAATTATGGGTTATTTCAGGGCTTAGTCGGCAGAATGGTGGATGCTTTGGAGATCATGGTTCAGACTATTCAAGGAAAAGGACGTAATATTTGACTCTTGGCATACATCGTTGTGAAAGGCTTTCGTTTCCTGTAAGTGAAGCCTTATTAAAACCAACCTAACTATTATGGCAGACTACAGTGTCTATATTGCCCACCTACAAGAAAATTGGAAAAAAGTATTGAGTCCCTTCCACAGGCTTAGAATATTTCTATATGCATCCTGATCCAGGGTCTTTGGTGGTGACCACTGCACAAGAGAAGTCAAAATGTAAGTTCTTTAGGACTACTGCAAAAGAGTTGTTGAGATTGGACATTTTAAGAAAATGGTATTTGTTGGGTAGCCTTCAATTTGGCATAGTGAATTATCAGAGCCTTCTGTCACATTTATGATTACCTTATGTGGAGCAGAGTTACTGAGGACAGGCCTATGCTACAGGGTTCAGTCGACCTAAGCTACACAACTCCAGCTACTTGAATAATGTAGCTGGAGTCAATGTAGCTTAGGTCAACCTTTTGCTGTGTCTAGTTGGCGCTGGGTCAACAGGAGAAACTCTCCTGTCGACTTACCTTATGCTTCTTGTTCCGGTGGAGCACTGTAACTAATGGGAGAGCGATCAGCAGTCGATTTAGCGGGTCTTCACTAGACCTGCTAAATCGACCCCCTGGTGGATCGATCACCATGCATCAATCCCCCGGTAAGTGAAGACAAGCCTTGAGTATGTTGATAAACTTTGATCACACCTTGGAGAGTTGTTTATGGAGAATCAGATAATTGCTAAAACCTCCCTACAGGTCTCAATTGATGCTTCTGATAAGGCATCAAGGGCACCAATGGTTACTGTGTGGTGTTCGTCATGGCTCCGTCCTCTGTTACTAAGGGATGTTCAAACTATGTTGAAAGACCTCTCCTTTGAAGAGTCTTCTACTCTGATCTAAAACTTAATGACTCATTAGCTATGTTAAGACTCTGGTGCCACATTACTGTCATTAGGCATCTACCTTTCCCAATATAAAAAGCAGTTTAATATTATACTTAACCAAGACAGCATTTCACTACTCCTTTCTTTCATCCTTATCAAAGAACATTCGATTTCTGTAAGAGGATAGATAGATATGACGGAGACCTTTTTCAACTTTGAATGCTGCTAAGGTGGCTCAGTCATTTTGATGTGTATGTCGAGAGCTGCCAGCCAATTTGGATTAGCTTTCAGGGACATGCACAGCGGCCCCACTTCTCTCCAGAGAAGCTGCCTGGAGCTCCCAAGGAGGCTGCATGATGAAGGGTGCCGATCCCTTCTGCGACCACAAGCGCAAACACCATGGTGATGCATTGCATTGCTGTTGGTAACAGCTATTCAGGAGAAACAGGGAGGGGACACTGCTTTGCCTCCCCAATTCCCTACCTGTGCTATGTAGGCTGTTGTGGCTGGAAAAAAAATCCACTGGTGGCTGCATTTAAGAAACGCTGTTCTATGTACAGTGACACAAAAATTTGGCATGGCCCTTGAGAATGAGCTCTGTTCTTAATTTCTAAAACTAATTGTCTTGGTCTTGAACACTTGATGGAGTTGTAAGTATTGTAGAACTTTTAATAAAAGCAGTGAGGTGTCTGGCACACCCAAAGAAGCTAATTTGTAAAACAGTGGATTGGGACTAAGTGCTGATAAATGGTGGAGTGAAAGTTAGTAGTGTAGACGAGTATTAAGCAGAAGAAAACGGATGAGGAGTGAAAGCAGGACAGACTCTCGCCAAGATAAGACATAAACAGTTCTGACTGGCTATTGCCTGTTAGGCACTTCCCTGAACACTAAGGGCTTGGTTACACTTACGAGCTAGAGCACATTAAAGCAGTCCCAGGCGCCCTTGTTCACTACGCGTCCACACTGGCAAGGCACGTAAAGCGCTCTGACTCCATGGCTAGAGTGCTCCTCGTACTCCAACTCCACGAGAAGATTAATGCTTGGTGTCCCTTGGCTGAAACGCCCGGGTGTCAGTGTGAACGAGGTGTTGCATTACTGCGCTCTGATCAGCCTCCGGAAACATCCCATAATCCCCTTAAGTCAAGTGGCCACTCTTGTCATTGTTTTGGAATCGCCGCAGGAATGCGGATATGCCCGTTGAAAGCTCCGTTTCTGACAGCCGGCTGCTTATCTGCTCCAAGACAAAGCAAGCCATTTGTGTGGAATGCTGTGTTGGGGGGCGGGGTCTGCTGCTGTCTGAACTTACAAGACAGCATGCTGACATGCTCTCAGCCCCCCTAAAACCCACTCTCTCCCCCTGTCACACCCCACCCCCCCCATTTGAAAAGCAGATTGCAGCCACTTGCATGCTGGGATAGCTACCACAATGCACTACTCTCTGTGGCCGTTGCAAGAGCTGCTAATGTGGCCATGCCACTGCACTTACAGCTGTCAGTGTGGACAGATTGCAGCGCTTTCCCTATTGTGCTCTACGAAGGCTGGTTTAACTCAAAACACTCTACATCTGCAAGTTAGCCATGCCCTTAGACAAGATAGAAGTTAAAGAAGAGTCTTTTGGTGGATGACAAAAGTTAAATGTCTGACTTGGCCACAGACTTATCATATGGCATTGGACATTTCACTTGCACTCTTTTTTAATCGGTAAATGTTGGTTAACATTGATTTCACCATAGATGCACAGACTGACAAAAATATGCCTGTTGATGATTACATTTTATGGATAGCTAAAGTAAGAAAAATGCTGTTTAGGAACTTATTAGAGTTTGATTTAAGGATATTTACATTTTGTTTTGACACGTGACATTTACAATGTGTGTGTGTTGGTTACAAAGCTTCAACTGTTTGAATTTCAACATCTATTCATTATATAATTGTCGTGACACCTTCATAATTTCATGCAAATATGAACATTAAAATTGATCTTTATTTTTTAAAAGGTTTAAACACAGTTCTTCAGTTATAAAAACATAAAAATAAATTTCTGCCAAATCTAGTTGAGTGTTGGTAATGGAGTACATTACTCAGCATGGGAACCCAGGAGCTGGTTGTCCACTTCTGTGCACCAGTCCCTAAAACCTGCCTCCAGGGAAGTATAATGCAATAGAGTAATAAATTAAGGTTTTAAATGAAATGCAAGAATTACAGCTAAAGGTGAATAAGTGTCTTTAGATTTGATACTCATGTTTGATGAAACTCAACTAACATAACATTTCTTTTTTTTTAGGTGCCTTGGCTGGACCAGTTGTTGATCCACATGTAACAGCAGTTTGGGGGAAGAATGTCACCCTGAAATGCATAATTGAAATAAATGAAACAATAACACAAATCTCATGGGAGAAGGTACATGGTAAAAGTACACAGACCATTGCTGTTCATCATCCTGAATATGGGTTTTCTGTTCAAGGAGAATACCAAGGAAGAGTGTCGTTTAAGAACTACTCACTCACTGATGCAACTATCATCCTAAACAATATAAGCTTCTCTGATTCAGGAGAATATGTATGCAAAGCAGTTACATTCCCACTAGGAAATGCTCAGTCATCAACAACTATAACTGTATTGGGTATGTTTGCTTCTTAATTTTATATTTGATTTTTTTTAACCCCACTATTTTATTCCGCCCCGCCCCCCCCACAAAAAAAAAAGGCTAAACAAACTTCATAGGACTTGGCTACATGGAGACATTATGTGTGCCAAGCTGGGGTCTGAATCTACAGCACACTATCTTGCCACGTACTGATTGGCTGTGTTTATCTTCCTACTGTGCACTGAAAGTTCAGTAGTGGGGTTTGACAAATGTTTCAAATATTGTTAGTGGGCTCCAGCTTCGAAAGGAAGTGATCAAGTTTTTTAATGCTGTGATTTACAAAAGTATATAACTTATTCTTCTGACTCAGGTTTACTTTAACAATCCTCATGGCTGACTTAAGATAACACAGAGCAGGTGTTGTTATGCAGTATTAGTTGATTCGTGAAGGTTTTTTGGTAGACGTAGCCACATCCACGAGAGGGCTACAAGCCTTTTTGATTCCAAGTCATTCTTAGTGATTTGGGGAGGATTTACATATTTTAAATCGGAAAATCCAAGCACTCTGTCAAATAATCCTAAAGATGAGAATAGTGTGTGTGTGTTAAAAATAATAATAATAAAAAAAAGTAGGTAATATAGTTGGGCCTTAGCTGCGAGAAGGAGAAAATAAACATTGAGTGATGAAATTAATATACTGGGCAGTGCTTGCTGAGTGAAGAGTCTCTCTGATGGATTGCAATAGGCTGAGATGAAATTGCTGCTACTTCAAATGTTTGACAAAAATTGGTAAAATAGTGTAGTTAATTAAAAAAGTTCACATTCTAGTATATTTTAAAAATAAACTGCACATGAATGGGAGAAATTTCAAGCATTTTTATTTATAAGCTTTCTTCTCAAATTTTAGAAACAATTCAACTAAAAGCAAAAAACAATTTAACAAAACTTGTCCTGAAATTTTGAATAATAAACACAGCTGTTGACTTGAATGGAAAAATCAATATATAATTTAAAGGAGCTCTGTTAAGGACGTTTCAGATGTATTGATCTGATGAGCTACTAAATGACTATAGGAAGGCTTTTGATGGTGAAATAAGTAAATTGCTGTGTACTATTTTAAAAAGAAACTTAATGGCTCATTAAAGGATTAAGGAGGGCGGTCTAGCAAGTATGAAGTAACTCATTTTTTTTCCAAAAAAATTGGGTATTTTAAAATGCTTGAAGTAAAAACTTGTCTTACTAATCCACATTCTTATGTTTTCTTATTTGTTTAATATTAATGCCATGAACAATAGTTAAAATGAGATTAGTTTACTTATAAATTAGTAATTTTAACTAAAACTCTGCCTAGAGATACATACATGGAAGAAAAAAGTGTAGACAAACCCTCACCAACGTGAGGTGAAACTCACGAAAGCTTATGCTCAAATTTGTTAGTCTCTAAGGTGCCACTAGTACTCCTTTTCTTTTTGTTTCCATTCTGTAAGTAACTTTGCTCCTGGGTGTAACAACTTTTTTGTAAAAAAGACCACTGTACTTAAGCAAAATAAAAATATTTTCTGAAACCACTATTAATATGATGGAGAAATCCCTGAAAATAGGTGAATAATATATATCTTTAAACATTTTCAGCAATAATGTTAATTTTAATACACAAGGGACATGTTTGTGGCAATGACTGTAACATAGCTCTAGAATTAATTTTTTTGGTATTTGTCTCCCAGTTACTCTACTAGCACAGTAAGTCTCAGAACTGCTTCTGTGAAATATGGACTATTGTTTTCATTGTGTGATGCTGTTTTTTTACAGCTTGGATTTGAAGTAACATGTTTCTAGTTTCTCAGCTGTTTTCTTCAGTAAAGAATTAAGTTAAAAGGTTGAATGAGTAAAGAGTTCCGTGTTAAGTAAGGTACAAAAGAATTGCTTGTCAGCTGAAGACCTCTGTTGGTGAGGAATGGGACACCTTGAAAAATAGTTGGATATGAAGCAATTGTTTGTTGTAAGGACAATCAGAAAGGCGTTTGCCCTTCAGACTGTCATTGTAAGGACAGATAAGGCAGTGATAATGGCTTAGATGGTGCATTGTAGAATACCCATGAGACAGATGATGATGTGTGGATAGAAAGTCTATGGGACTACAGTAACATGAAGAACAATACATGTGTTGAGTTTAGACCTGATACAGGTCATGCTACATTTTGACTTTAACCTGTAGCTGATGGGCAGGTTTTTGAGGGATGTGAACTTGGAAACCTTTGACTTGACCAGTAAAGTGAGATGTCCTTAAATATTGGTGGAGTTAAAGTATTACCATGTGTTGTCAGACAAAGGACTCTTCTCCAAAGTCAGGAATCCTGCTTCAGTTTCCAGACAGGCTGTGAAAAGCACTTGACTCTCTCAAGTGCTAATTTTTTTTAGCTGCTGCTCTTAACCTGGGAAAGTGTTAAAATGAGTTATCAATAGGTACCATCCGTTCATCAGGAATGCAATGTCTGATCAAGTCTTGATGTATTACTGAGATCTGTTCCTTCCTCCCCTTGTCTGTGTGGACTGTAGAATAGTCTATTACTGTCTAAGCCTTAATTTATTGTGCTTTGTTGCTATTATTTGTTAGGTGAGTTGGTTACATTGCACTGTAAGCCCCCCAAACCCCTCTCTCAAGAATTGGGCATTTAAGTCTCTCCCATGCTTTCTTTTCTTCCTAAGGTTTCCTGTAGGCTTCATCTTGAGCAGGATGGTTCCTAGCTTCAGTCTTGATACTTTTCTCGAGGAAATCTCTGCCTCAAAAGTGTTTTGCCTATTTGAAATGTTAGTTGCCTCACTTGAACTGGATTTTACCAAATCATTGAGTTTTGACTTGAGCTATTTAGTAGTCTTAAGAAAAAATGTCACCAATCTAGTAGTATTCAATGGATCAGAAAGCTTAAAAGCTGTTAGAATTGTAAGGGATTTTAGAAAACAAGTGATAAATTGAAAAGGAATGGTTTTCTCTTGTAAAAAAGATATATATGGCCTCTATTTGATCTCTGTGAACAATAAATTCCATATACATTTTGTATAGATTTACTGCTTTGAGCAATTCTATTCATGGTTGTGTTGTCTTGTAGCTTTTCTTCACCTCTTGAATTTCTACGATGGAACGTATTGCTGTTAAGATGCAAGCATATGGAAAATAGAGAGATGTATTATCAAAGGTGTTCACTTTTTTTGGCAATGTGCTGTTTCAGACCCAAAAGCAATAGTTCTTCCACATGTGGGTGCACATGTGTAAATAATCTTTTGTCATTTTCATAGTGTAGTTCAGTATCATAAACATCCTCCCTGGTTAAGGGGACACAATTGCTTGTCACCTAGGGACTATGCCAAGGATCCCAGGCTTCAAGAACTGTCACATGCTCATTCCTTTTCCATTAGCGACGAGTATTAATGGCGTCTCTACTGTCTGAGTGAGGCACGCATTTCAGTGAAGCGCAGCATCTGTAAGGCCTTCCTACCCAGAACTAGAGTAGCCTGTGAGCCCCATCTCTGCTAGTTCCTTATAGAAGAGGTAATGAGGCCCCTGGTGCACTCGGATCCTGGCCAAGTAGATTGCCCTGTACAGTGGCCTCGACTAATATGTAGTGCCCTCTGAGCAAGTGCCATTGTGTGGAGCTGTTGGCACTGAAGCCTAAGGACAATCCCCACCACAAGAGTAAGAAACACTCTCATGGGCATAACAGCAGATCCACACAGTGGACTGCTTATAAGAGATTAGTTCCCTCCCCTACCTGTACTAGGTCAGGTAAGATGCAGCACTTGGATCCAACAGAACCAAAGCTGATTTTCTTCCTCCCGCTCCCCCCTGGCTGGGGGGTAAAGCAAAGAAGAAGCAGGAACTGTTGGTAGTGTACCAGTGGTGACCTCGGTTCTGGGACACTTAAGAGCATCAGTCTACAAGCATAGCTCCGGAAGCTCCATCATTGCTGCCTCGCCAGCATGCTGACCCAGGTCCCTTTGGAGTCTCAATGGGCACCCCATGGACTCAGGATGTAAAGACTTTCCTAACATCAGAGGAGGTATGCCTGCTATATCTGCAGTGTCCACTCCCCAAAGAATGGACCGGCCCATGAGATATCCCCACACCTGAGGATGAACTGCTGTTCCTGCTGTGGGAGAGGCCCTTTCCCATCCATTGGACCGAGCTCTCTGGTACTGACAGTCCTAGCCGTTTGTGACAGAAGTGATAGCTTGACTTTTAAGTTAAAACCGACTACTGTAAGAATTATTTTCTTCTAAATATAAACTGCAGTAGAGATGCTCTGGACACCTAAGTTCACAAAATATTGGGCAGTTGGATATTCTCCATTAATACCTTGCAGCATGGGAGTGAAATCAATCTCTTATTTGTAACAGGCTTAACATTCATAAGTAGACTACATTTCCTTGCACTTAAAAGTTTGATTTCTTCGTAGGCTTCCCTTAATGTATACGAGTTCAGCCTTCCTTGATGCCATTGATTCTTGGGCATCTCAGGTCTTTCCTGATGTTGGGTTTTTGCATGTTGATTGTCTCAGTAGATATGCTTAAAAAAAAGGAGAGCTTAGTTCGGACTAGTAAAAAGAATGTTTTATGGCCAGAGCATAGTGCTGCAAGCCACACTGTTAACTACCAAAGAAAGTAGGCTAAAGGACATAACGTGGTCTGATTTGTTTAATAGCTTGTGGAGCAAGCATCTTTAGGACTGCTTGTTCTTTAACCAAAAACAAACAAACAAACCTAAACAAACAAACAAAACCCCACTCCCGTATCTATGAAACTAGCTAGATGATAGCACTTCAGGTACACAACAAAGAAGATTTGGGTTCTAAGACGACACTGGAGATGTGTAATTGTAAATAAGTGCATCATACATTCCTATAAGTGTGTGTGTTTAAAAAAAAAAAAAAACCTGAATAAATGTCAGTTAAGCTACAGAATTGCTTAAGTAATTGTGTAAAATATAGTCTCTCTCTTCCTGGTTAGTAAAACCAATCTCCCCAAATGTAGTCGAAAGGCTATATTTAGTTTCAGTTCACATGTTTTAATGGTTACCAACAAATGAGCGTCTCCCTTACCTTGGGGGGGCAGGGGGAGAAATCAAGTACAGATGTGAAACTAGATTAAAATAAATGATTTAAAACAAGGTTTCCTGCTTGCTGATTAAAATGTGACTTCTATCACTTAGATTTAAAATCAGTCCACCCTGGCAACGTGCAGCACAGGGGTGTCAGAGCTGTCAATTGTTCAGATTACTTTTAAGTATCCATTGTGTCATCAGCTTTACCTGCTGGTTAACAAATCAGCCTTGAAAATGAGTTGTTAGTTGTAAGCTATTGGGGATAAAATGTACATACAGGAAATGAAGTGAGGTTAATGAAACTTTTTTTCTGTCTTGACTGAAAATATACTTAAACTTTTTTTATTTCAATAGTTGAACCCATTGTGAGCCTAACCAAGGGACCAAACTCTTTAATAGATGGTGAAAATCAGACCGTAGCAGCCATTTGTACAGCAGCCACTGGAAAACCTGCTGCAGATGTTGCTTGGGAAGGAGGTCTTGGAGAAATGGAATCCAGTTCTATTTTATTTCCAAATGAAACTGTGACTGTTGTCAGTCAGTACAAACTCATACCCACCAAATTTGCCAGAGGAAGACGCATAACTTGTGTTGTGAGGCATCCAGCTTTGGAAAAGGAGATGAGATATCCTTACACATTGGATATATTATGTAAGTATATAACAAGTTAACTATTGCTTTTACAGCTGTTGTTCTGTCATATTACAACTAGGCCTTATAGTACGTTCCATCAGTAGATGTGCAAGCAATGTACAAAGAAGGTCACTGTCATTGCCCCATCACACGGATGGGGAAACAGAGCAATGGAGAGGTGAAGTGAGTTGACCAAGGACTTGCAGCAGGCCACTGTCCGAGCTGGGAATAGAACTCAGGTTTCCTGAGACCCAGTCACTTGCCCTACTTGCTGAGAAGCATTGCCTCTTAACTTTTAATTAACTTGATTTAATTTCCCATTTATATTCCTCATATGTTTCTTCATGGACCCTTATTTTTTAACAAATGTGACTAATACTCAGATGTTTAAGCTGAAAGAATTCAATTCCTCTTCTTCAGCTTTACAGGGACTTGTTAAATGGGAAAATGGAGTTTGCTTATAACAAGAATTGAAGTATTTAAAAATACCTGAAATGGTGGTTACCATTTCACACTTGGAATAATACAAGGCATGATATTCCCAAAGAACTTCAGTGATGAAAAATGTTATGGGGTAACTACGCTTAACCAGATCATTCACTACACTACTGAGAGTGTTAGAGAGAGAGTGGATAACTTGAGAATCCTTCCACTTGGAAGTCTTATTTTCTTTTTTAATATAGATTCTTTTTTTTTTGGTTTGTTAAACTTGAAGTCCTGGAAAGAAACAAGTGACAGAAGATGATAAATTGCCAAGCCCTCCTCATTATTTGACCCAAAGGCCTACCTTGTAAGAATATTCTTTAATTTCATAACTTCACCTTCTATCTCAGCTGTAGAAATATGCAGAGCTTTCATCTGTTAGCAGTGTTTGTTTTTTTGCAGCAAATAAGTTTCTGTGTATGACCAGATTGTTTTGGATTCTGCATATTTACTATTGTTTGCATATCACAAGCAAAAAGTGTGGCACATGTACTACTTAATTTTCAGTTCAGTAACAGATAAAACGATAAAAGACCTCTTTCTAGCCCTTTGCTGTTGAGCTTCTGGCTACCTGAAAAACTTTGTCTTGATGGTCACAGATTAAAGCCCTAACAAATTTAGGGCTTGTTTACAGTGCCCTACAGTTTGGATTATGGGAGTGTGAATCGCATTGAACAGCAAGTGCTGAGCTGCAACTCCCCCATGTGGATACTGTGGGTGTGAACTAAGAGGTTCTTAAAACAGGACTACATTAACTACATTTAGGAACCTCTTAGTTCACACCCACAGCATCCACACAGGGGAACTGAAGTTCAGCACTTGGCGTGCAGTCCTTTTTACACCCCAAACTGAAGACATAGCCTTAGCATATCTCCCTAGATTGACCAGTAATAATGCTGTGCTCTGGTGGCCAGCTGATTTTTGACAAGAGTTGCTCCCGAAATAAATTCCAGTCCGTTTCTTCCCATTGAAGAGGAACTTCTAACTTATCATAAGTTGAATTTCTTAAAACTTTACATTGTATGCTTTGTTTGTCATTTTGATGTGCTATTACAAACTTTAGTCCACATAACCCAAAATGGATGCCTAAATTTGGGCTATCAAATATATGACCAGAGTTTTCAAAAATCCAGAAAAATTGGGTTCCTACAGATTCAAAATTTAGGTTTAGGCATCCATTTTCAAACGTAAATTATAACACACTAATGGGTGCACAGGAGATGGGGAAAGGAAGTGTAGGATGTAGATCTTGGAATAGAAGAAGCTTGTAGTTTACATCTATTGATGGGTTAGAGTACCTTAATTACTACTTCAGAAAAGCAGCTTAGTGGTGAAAAGATTTTCAAAAAGATACTTTCCCTCCTTCTTACTGAACATCCGGTCCCTTGCTGTAATCTGTTCTATCAAAAAATTAAATGTGTACCATCAGTTACTAGTTGGTCACATAAACACACGACCAAAAGAGAATTTTCAGTAAATTTTAACCTATTGTTGCTTTTTATGGTTACCACTTGTAATCGATTTAGTGTATTAGGGACTGGAATGACCTTGAGACAAGTATAATTATTGATTTTTGCCTTCAGCCATCTTGGGAAATACCATAATAAATAAACTTACGGTCTGAGAATGCTATTGGTAGTAAAATTGTTAACATGGAATCAGGAAACATTTGAAATGGTATTAAAAGACTAAAATTGTGACCTATTCCAAGTAATACACAGCCTCCTCGAACATAACCTTACGGTAGCCCATCAAGTAAACCCACTGTTAAAAACGTGTAAGAATTGTAAAGAACATTTTTGAAAGACAAGTATGTTCTATTGACTCAATGAACTTTTAATAATTTTAGAACAGTCTGTATTGGAGGATTGGCTGGTTTTAATGTCTAATTGAATTTGGAAAGAACTTTAGACTATGTTACACATCTTTTCCCCAGTATTAATTAGAAGTGAATAAACTTTAATACCTTCCAAAACAAATTATAAAAAGCTACTGGACTTCATACTCATGACAACTTGCTTAGTGTTCTTATAAAATTGTGTTGAGCATGAATAGAGAAGCAGTTCTGCTTAGTGCTTTGTTTTAACGTATACTAACAGTCTTCAAGTGAGTTCTGAATCTCTACACTTGAATCTGAGTAGAGTGTTTTAGTGGAGTAGTCCTAAATATAAGAATAAGAAGCAAGTTGTGAGAACTGTAAATACTCCATCCAGGCCCTGTGCTCTGATGCACAAATAAGGAAGGAAATTATCATAACTTTTTTTAAGTGTAAACATAAAATGAAGATTAATTGAATACTGAGGCAATTCTGTTGAGAGAGACTACCAGTTTTTAAACTGCTACTCCCTACATGTCATTTGCATTAGTGTGCAGTCTGGAGAGAGAAGCTGCATCCTAACACAATTGATGACAATAGCTGAAGAGAGACAGGCATAACAGGAAATTTCCAGTCTCTATAATGTAACCTTTCTGGCCTAGCCCAGTAGCAATAACCAATATCCATAATATGCCTCAAACATAAATTAATAACACTAAACTATGTAAGAGGTGGAAAAATGTGGCTTCAGTGAGAAGAGAGAGATTTCAAGTCTTGCTCTCCTTTTCAACCTTTGTGCCACCTGCATTTGGAGGAAGTAGTTGAGCCTGCTGTCCTGGACTGAGAACAACTATCCTACTCTGAATTCTGACCTCATATTACTTAAGTGTGCTGGGAATAGAACTTTTTACTGTAGCAGACCCTTTCAACTGGTGCTTCAATTATATTTGAATGTTTACATTATGTTGCCGTATACTGTGAATTTGCCGCAAGCATACCAGTGGAAGGCTTACAATAAGTGTATATTTAAAACTGTCAGACAGTTTCTACAACTGGGTTAGGGTGAGATTCTGGGGGCAAGACTGCTAATACTGAGGGGTTGAAAGAAGTTGGGAAGATGGGATTCAGATTGGAGCCATTATCACTATTGTCTTTTGGGTCCTTTGAAAAGAAATAAAACAAAATTAAATACAGAATACACTAAAGTTCCTTGTTGGTTTGACAAGTAGTATTAACATAGGCACAGTGCAGATACCTACTACAGTATAAATCATTAGCCAAAAGATACTCGGGTAGTATGTGCAATTCATCATTTACCACTGTGTAATATGAATTTTTTTTTGAATTAACAGAATTTGGTATATTTTAACTATTGAAATTAACACTGCATTATGCTAAAAATTGGCATTGTTGGTGTAAAGACTATAGTTATCTCGGCTTGTTTCAGTTAACAAACTGAAAACTTATGAGGCCCACTGATTTGCTTTATGTTAAGCCCCTGATGCCAACCACCCAAGGACACATGTCATTTACTAAGCTTTCCAGGTAGTACTATCACCATTCATTGGAGAGTAAGCACTGCCATACTGTTAATTAAATACAACATATAGATATATCATTCTAAACAATGCAAGTCTCCTTTTAAAGATTGTACTTTGAGTATTGGGTTTTGAAATTGCACATATTTTATAGATGCCCCTGAAGTTTCAGTAACTGGGTATGATGGAAACTGGTTCATTGGAAGAGAGCATGTTCAGCTCCGGTGTAATGCTGATGCAAATCCACTGCCCATGGAGTTTACATGGACCAGGTAAGTGTTCATGAAAATCAAACTTAAATGGAAAAATTAATATTTTAATAATAGAGTTTTGAAGGGTGTTACTGGCTAATGACATAGTGGAAACAAGGCCCTTTCACTGCTACTTGCTTGTCTGGTTCCAGTATGTGACTAATGCACATCATATGTGACTAATGCACATAGAAATGACTGCTATTGAAATATGTCCCATACTGATGCATCAGACATGGATTCATACATGTGGACTTTTAAAAGAAAAACATTGGCCTTATACAGTTGATGGCCCCTAAGGAAAGGGGAACAGTAGCAACTGGGGTGGCAAAGTACAAATAAAGAATTATTGTTACTCTGAAATCTAAACAGTTACCAATACTTTAGGATAAATCCATTTATTTTTATAAATGGAATAACTTCTTTGACAGGTGATTGTGATATTGAGTTTCTTGGGCTTCGTGTAAGATATTGCAAGCACCTGTTGTCTAGTCTTCCTCCTCCGTGTGAGTTGGGGACATGTTTAAAGCAAAGACGTAAAAAGACTGGATATTATTTGAATAAAATTATATAAAACTGATTACATTAAAAATTGGAGTGGAAAACACTTAAGTATCATTTCAATCATCGAATTTACCATGCCTTAATAAAGAGTAAGGCCAACTGTATCTACTTCCAAATAAGATGCATGAGAGGCTTGCCTTATGACTCGAAACTTAAGTCAATCTGTGTTGGTATTTGGTGTCTCTGTATGGCTTTCTGTTGTGTAATAAAAGCTGTATTTCATGATTGTCATATGAATTGGATGTCTTTACTGTGAGTCCTGCTGCCTGCTATCTGTAGTCTTGCATGTTAAGTATGTTCCCCTGGAGGGAGCCACCTCCCAGGAGCATATAGATGGCCCAAAAAGGTGTAACTTTCCTTTATTCCTCTTAAAGTAATTTCACTTGGTCGGTCTATCTGAAACAAAGAAAATTATTTTGTGTGAGTGTTTAAGCATATATAATACACCGTAGTAGTGCTGTGAGAATCACTGATACATGATCATTAAAGTTCAGTTGTGGTACCATCTTGTATCCTCAAGTTGCTTCCTGAATCAGTTAAAAGAAAAAAGACTAAGAGTTTTAGCTTTGTCTTTGTCTACACTGGAACTTCATTGGCAAAACTTTTGTCATTCAGGAGTGTTAAAACACAGACATGCACCCCGAACAGCAGAAGTTTTACCAACGAAAAGCGTCAGTGTGAACAGTGCTTTGTCATCAGGAGTCACTCATTGTGCGACTTTTGGCAGCACAGGAATGTCACTAAAAGCTGCCTGGTGTAGACAAACCCTTTAAAATTGTATTTTGAAATGCGTGGTTAATAATAATAAACATATAACCAAGGTTTTTCTTGAATGGAACCTCCTAAATGCAGAACAAAATATGCTATCCAACTATTACATTAAAAAATTAAGAAACAAATCAAATGAAGTAGTCTCAATTAGATCACATTTAAACCAGGTTGATTAAAAAAATCCACTCCTAATACAAATAGTAAAATCTAACAGTGGTTGTCAGTTAATCCCCAATTAAATTTCATTTAAATCAGTTACATTCAGTTTTAGCTTCGCTAAACTGCTCAACATTGAAACAATATACATTTGAACCAGTGATCAAACCATAATCACAAAGGCAATACAAGCTGCTTTTCCTGATGATACATGCAAGGTGGCTCAGTTTCTCTTCTCCAACATGTTATGGTTCAGGTTAAAAGTAATAAGGACAAATAACTAATCTAGTTTTAAAAGATATTTTAACCTTCTCAGTAATAGGGGCTTTCATAACACTTAAACCAATTCCCAGATTTAATTTCATTCCTCATGTGGTATAGACAAGTGTGACATTTTTTGTAAAAGCAGAGAACTTAATTTCAAGAAATTGTAGATGAGCTTGTATACAAATTTCTTGTAATAAACTCTTTGGCAGAAACTTAATCATTAAAAGAATGCTGACTTTAAAAAGTTGAGGTAGAAATTTATTGGCAGAACACTGGGCTACAATGCAGAGGGTCAGACCACTATTATGCAAGGGTAGAGAGCTTGGTTATGTGAGGGGTATTTACTTGTACTTGCTTCTGAAAAATTAACAAAGTAGTGGCATTTGGGGAAGGCAAAGGCAGAATCTCATCTGCCTCTTTGTCCCAGGAAAAAAAATTCAGTTGAAGTTGATTTCAAATCTAGTTTAAATTCTAAGTAATGCTATTGAAGAAATACAGAATTGAACTGGTGCAGAATAGTGTATTTTTGCATTTTGTCCACTGAATGTTAAGGTGAAGGGGATATGTTATATTCTCAGTAATAGTAATAACATTCTGAGCAATCTTAATAACCTGGAAGTAGGTGGACAAATCTGTACACAACAAAGTAAATGAATCCTTGTTTGGCTGGGGAGATGAAGACAAATGAGTGTGTATTGCGGCAGTGTGTGGTGTTCTTGCAATGAAATGACACAAGTCCATGTACAATCAGAAATAACTTAAAATAAACAAATACAGATTGGTGCATGTTTAGCCATTTGACTCCTATAGTGGGAAGACTGAGATTGGCAAGCAGGATAGCTATTGAGCTGCAGAAATAAAATATTTCTACAGTTGCTAGCAGTCACTGGCCTATAGTCAACAAGATCTCAAGTGGAAGAATGTCTGAGGATGTTCATTCACTGTACATGTTGAATTTTTGGGATATCATTCATGAAAAGTAGTTGCAGCATGTGGCATTGCATGACAGACTGTGTTGACACTTTACTCATGGAAATCACACACTCGCGCTCTCTCTCTCTCTCACTCTTCTTCGAGTAGTGTCCCTGTGGGTGCTCTATATCAGTACACTGCCTGCCTGTGCCACACTCATACCCCAATAAACTACCTGTGGCTTGCAACAGAGCAGTCCGTGTCCAGTAGTTGAACTATGCAGCTGGCTATCCTTTGCTTTCTTATGCCTTTTTCATTTTAGTTTTTTCTTAGTGGTTTTTTTAGCACAAGTTCATGCTTTGAGAGGGTTCACCCCTTCTTTCCTCTGGGTCCCCATTCTCCCCCTCCCCTCTCCCCAGCCCCACATGTGGGTTATGCCGAAGACCCTGGACTTCAGACCTTTCCATATGTGCCACAAGTCCTTCTCTTGCAGTGATGAACTTGCCTCTCTGCTGCTTGGGAGAAATCTGCATTCCCTCTAAATGTAAAGTCTGTTTAAGATTTAAAAACAGATCTAAAAAATTGAAGTAGGAAAAATCGCACATTCCTATTTATGCAGTACTTTGAGATCCATGTGGTGAGTCACCCCCAAATAGACTGATTCCATTGACCAGCTCTGCTTCGGCGGTGACCAAAGACCCCAGACTTTCCAAGAAAAGACCCCATTCTCCAGAATCGGACGAAAAAGGGAAAGTCACCACCTCGATCTGGGTCCCAAGAAACCTCCTCTCCAAACACAGATATTGCTGAGGCTCCCTTTCCTTCAGTACTGTGACTACAGTAGCATACCTAGAAGTCAGTTTAGAGAGCTTCTGACACTGGCATCTGACTCTGCCTCCGAATGTCAAAATGAAGCCAAAGTCCTTATTGGTACAGTCTTCCATAGCCAGAAGTGCAAACTGTGCCATACCTATTCTGGTGCTGCATCCGGCACCAGCCCATATGCTTACTCCTGAGAAAACACATCCAGACGTCCTGCTACTGTCCAGGCTCCTATCTCACAAAGACGTCCGAATCCTCAAAGAGCCCGAATCACCATTATTGAGAGGTACTGAGAGGCATTCCTCACTGGTACCAACTCATTTCTCTGAGCTTGCTTACCCTCCTTCCTTTTCTTTGATGGTGACTCACCCTCTGGTACCGACACCTTCCCCATGCAGGCTCTTTGAGAGAGACCTCAAATGGTACTGTTACAAGATTTTCTGGAACTGCCTCACCAGCTTCTTTCTAACCCCAATATTTATGCATGTGCAGGTCTCCTTCTGGGCCCCGTACCAGTCTGACCATCAGTACCTACACCATTTTCCTTCCCATTTGGATAACATCCTCTGACTCAGGTGTCTGTATGAGGTTCCTCCACCTTCCAGCCCTTCTCCCTAGAAACTGACATTTGAAGAAGGAGCTCATAGCAAGAAATACACCAGTTACCATAGCAAGGAAAACATTGGGATCTTGCATTATTCCTTTATGCCTCATCACAGTGCGCTTGCTGGAACCATGGGCTTCTTATGTCAACCCTTGTTACATAGGGTACTATCTCAAGAATTCGCTTCAGGAACATCAGCGAGTACATCTAGGTTGTGCCCCACAGACCCATCCTCTACAGCAGGAACCAGTGGAAGAGGAAGAAACTTCACCTCCCTGCAAATCCTCCTCATCAGATGAGGGCCATGCATACCTCAGCATCCTGTCCTAGTGACTTTAAGGCCTTTCAAGAATCCATGAAAAGGATAGCAGACACCTCGCAAGTCTTGGTAAAGGAGATTTGGATTTCCTGAAACTCCTTGTTGGATAACCTACATTCACCTCAGGGCAAGATTGTCTTGCCTATCTGTGAAGCTTTGCTTATTCTATTCCGTGGCAAATGGAGTGTGGTGAACTCTCATATAGGTTGTACTTCCATATAGATGGGTCTACAAAAATTATTACATCCCCCCCAGAGGCTCAGTATTTATTCTCTTAGCTCTCTGGTGGTCAAGGCTGCTAACGAATGGAACAGACAGCATTAGTCCTGTTCAATGCCATCGGACAAGGAGCTAAAATGATTGGATCTGCTGGGTCGTAAGAGCTGCTACTTGGCCTCCTGGTAGTTCAGAGTGGCCTGTTATCAAGCCCTGATGGCTAAGGGTACGTCTTCACTACCCATTGAATCGGCGGGTAGTGATCAATCTATCGTGTCTAGACGAAATGTGATAGAATCAATCCCCGAATCGATGCCTATACACCACCTTGGCAGGAGGAGTAAGCGGAGTCCAATAGGGTTGACTCGGCGCCGTAAGGATGGCCAGGTAAGTCGAACTACACAAATAGCGTAGCTGAAGTTGCATATCTTAGTTCGAACACCTTCCCCCCCCCCGCCCCCCAGTGTAGCCCAGGCCTAAATGTGACTTCAATTTATTAAAAATTTTCATCTTATTGAATATGTGCCTCAGGAGCAGAACAATTTCAGGCTCTCATTACAGAGGGTCAAACAGTTGCCAAGGCATCTCTCCAGGCTTTGTGCAATTGTCAGTTGCATCTAATGTTCTATGGTTATGGCAGCCAAGCTTCCTGGGTGTAGTCTTCAGGCCTCCCCGGGAGGTACAAAATACTCATAGAGGACCTTCATTTTGAGGGCCCTCAAGTTGTTGAGTGACAACCTGGATGGGTCGCTCCATTCTCTGAAGAACTACTGTGTGACACTAAGTTCTCTAAGCATCTATATACCTGCGAATAAAGAAAATGCAGCAGGTTACAGACAGCTCAACAATTTTGCCCAGTCCACTACCAGCCCATGAGAATGGCTGAACACCCTCCCGCGCGCGCACACACACACAGAAGAAACCCAGATTCCCTAAGAAAATGGCTTCCCCTGCAGCAACCTCCCAGCCAGTGACATCTTCAAAATGTATGTTTCAACCCGTTGGTTGACCGTGGTAAACTACTTCTTGCTGTAGAACTTATATTTCACTTATTCCCCTCGTACCCTTATGGGGATTCTCTCTCCTATTATCTGTCTTCCTGGGAGCTCATCACTTTGGACAGATGGATCCTAGAAGCAATTTTCACAGGCTTCTCCATCCAGGCCAGCTCCTTACCACCCCATTCCTCGCTAAGGACCCTTCTCACAAGAGGAAAAAATTCCTCCTGGCTCCGGGGGAAATTGAACCTGTCCCATCAGAGAGAGGATCCTGTTTTATCAGGATAGAATTTTCTTCTTGGTATTTTCTTGTCCAGAAGAAAAATGAGGGGTTGGGGGAGGAGACCAATTCTGGACCTCAGGACTTAAAATACTTCTATCCGCTCCTGATTGTTCAGAATATGGCCCTAGGAACAATAATTCCCTCTCTCTGGGAGGCTTTATTCCTTCAACCTTCAGGATTCTTGTTTCCATATCGCCATTCATCCCTCACACAAGCAATTCCTTTGCTTTGTGGTATGCAAGGACCACCTTGCCATACAAAGGTTCTGCACTGCAAAATGTATCAAGAATCTATTCAACCTCTTCTCTCCTATCCAGGAACTAACACCAGCATGGGACCTCACTTGAGTTCTCAGCGCTTCGAGGAAACCTCCATTCGAACCTATGGGGAGTTCCCTCCTTCATTTGGCCCTTAAGATCTTGTTCCTCGTAACCATTACTTCAGCCAGAAGCGTAAGAGCTTGGAACCTTGATGGCAGACCCACCAAATACAGTGCTCTACCAAGATGAGGTGACTTACTTCCTAAGTCTCCTGCTTAACATGCAATTCAGAAGAGATTAACCTGCCGGCATTTACCCCAAGCTTCACTGTTATAGAGAAGAAGTGAGCCACCATACACTTGGTGTTAAAAGAGCTCTTGGCTTTTACCTTGACAGCAGTAGGCCCTTTTGGGTTTTCCCTAGACTTTTCATCTCTGTTGCAGAAAGAATGAAAGGGGACATCTGATATGGACTCAGTCTGTCCAAATGTGTTGTAGGTTGCATCCTCTCATGGTACGAAGTTTCTTTGTTAATCCACCCTCCTCCCCTGAGAGTTACTGAGTACTGGTGGAATGAGCAATCTAGACCCTTTCAAATATACACCCATTTCAGACATTTGCAGGGTTCAGACACCTGGTCTTTGTCACCCATGTTTTACCAGCATTACACTCCTTCATGCCTGCCTCCAGGACCGACATGGGCTTTGATGTACTGTGATCCATACTGAATCCACTTCCTCGTCACCCTGCTCCATAATGGGAGTCTGCTGACATGGTGCACCCATAGGGACGCTACTCAGGTAATCTCTCATCCGTCTTTACCTTGTATAGTAAATGGAGTTCTTCCAGACATATGTCCCTAAGGGTGTGCCACAACCCACCGTCCTTCCCCTCTGCCTCAGAGCCTTTCTTGAAATATTAGTGGTTGAGAAGAAACTGCACTAGCATTGGGTGTGCCCCTCTCTTGATATATTCTTGAGTCAAGGCACAAGGGTATTTAGGGTTCACATGTGGATCCATACACTGCTGACTGAAAACTCTTATCAAGAGAGCAAGGGTGTGTGCATATCCTGATGTGGAGCATGCATGGAGGGGAGGGGGGCACCTTTTGAAGAACTCCAGTTACGGTACAAGGTAAGTAATGTCTCCTCTCCTGTCCTCCTTTTTTGGTTAGTTGTAACTCCTCTATGCCCTGAAACCGTCTGATTCCTTAATTAGCAGTGAAGGATCATTTAAAGGTGCCCCTAAATGAAAATTTCTCAGCACATTAACAAAAAACAGTTGGCAGAGCAATACCTATGTGAAATCATACAGGCTGTTCAAGATACAAATGAATTAGTGTTAAGCACTACATTGAATGCTGCAAATATACTCAGCTCTTCCTCCTCCACACATTTGAGTTGTAGGCCCTTGATAGTAGTCCCTATCTCTTCCTCTACAGATATCAGTGCGGAAGATAGGCATTTCCACTTGCATCAGTCTTGCCTGTACTAACAAGATAAGGAGCTGTAGGTGGTCCTTTGGGCTTTGTAACTTTGTTTCTACAAAGTTTTTCTTAAAATATTGCTCCCTAGTCAAAACTTTCAGATAAATCATGAGACATAAATTCAGGTCTTATTAAGCCCAAATGTATTCTCCTGACTTTGCTTCTCAGACTTCCAGTAATGGCAATTTGAAGGACTGAATTAGTTAAGTTGTCCTATTGGCAGTAAAACCATATTGTTACTAGTAAGAAGTCTTTTTTTATTAAAAATTTGACAGAACTTTGCTTTAGTTTCAGGCCACATCATTCCTTAACTTAATTCCACTGACATGATTTGGAGCTAAACTGGTGATTAAGTTGGTCTGTTTTAAGATTGCTCATTCTTGTAATAGTCTTTGGAAAATGTGTCCATCAATCCTTACCTCAAAAGAGGGAAGATGATTTGTTTACAGCCTATAAACCTGCAGAAGAGCACACAAGACTACTTCTCAGGGCATTCTGCACCAAGAAATTCTGCACACAATATTTTAAAATTATTCAAATTTTATTTGTCAAATAAATGTGGAGGCCCCAGCATGGCATGGGGAGCACAGGCCACTGGCTGATGGAAGATCACTGTGCTACTCCACCGCAACACCATCTTCCCCCCCGGGCATGGACTCAGCGGTGAGGCTTCACCCAACTGTGACATAGTGTGCCCCAGAAACACCCCGGGGCCCTGCCCCTATGTGCCAGGTGCACCAGGTGTGGGCAGGCAGGATCCAAGTGTGGAGGGGATTAGTGTGGGGGGATCCTGGTGTGGGTTGAGAGGGTTCTGTGTGGGGCTATCTGGGTGCCGGAGGCTTAGTTGGGGATCTGGGTGCGGGGGGATCTGGATGCACAGGGCTTGTTGGAAGGTTCTGGGTGCAATGTTAATGGAACTCTGCAGGAGGGTCCAGGTGAAGGTGGTTGGGGCTCAGTGTGTGTGTGGGGGGGGAGGAGGGCCTCAGTGTGTGATTTCAGATGCTGGGGGTGTGGGGCTCAGTGGGATAGGGATCCAGGTGCAGCTGGTTGGGGCTTCATAGGGTGGGATCTGGGTGTGGGTGGGTTGTTGGGGTGGTCCAGGTGCAGGGGGAGTTGGGCTAGTCGGGAGGGGTCTGGATGCATGGGGGTTGGGTGGATGGGGGAGTAGCTCCTTGTACAGCGATCCCTCCCCCTGCAGCTGAGGAGCGATGAGTACAAGAAGTACGGGGGGCGGTAGTGGGAGAGGAGGGAATTGGCAGAGCTTCCCTCAGCAGGGGGCAGAAATCTGGGGGTGGATCTGACATGACCCCAGATACCATGCAGGGGAAGAGGAAGTCCCGTCCTCCTTAGCCCAGCCGGGACTAGCAGCTGAGCCTGGCGCAGGGTAGGAGCCACCAGCTGGGTCTTCCCCAGTCCTGCCCTGTGCCCCACAGTGATTTACCTCTCTGCTGCCTGCCCTGGGCACCCGATACATACTGCTGGGGAGGGTCACATGACCGCTCTTAGGGCTTCCCTTTGCTTCCCCCATCAGAAAGGCATTTTTCTGCAGGGAATCAAAGAAATCTACGGGGGACTTAAATTCTGCGCAAGTGCAGTGGGGCAGAATTCTCCCAGGAGTAAAAGACTCAAAATAAACAAATTGACTTGACATTGACATTGGTTTTTAACTGAAAGGGCTTTAATAAATATAACAAAATTGCATTCCACAGAGCAAGCTATTGTAAACATAAAATAAGTATAGTTGGAACCTTTTTAGATAATACATTTTGCATTTAATTTTATTGTGTAATTTCTGAGAACGCTTAAACTACCTCCAAATATTGTCTAATTCAGGTTGGATGGACAATGGCCTGAAGGTTTAATATCTTCAAATAATACTCTGCATTTCAACAGTCCATTGACTTACAATTATACTGGGACTTATGTCTGTAAGGTGACCAATTCCCTTGGACAAAGAAGTGATCAAAAGACGATCTACATATTAGGTGAGTTGTTTCTCCCTTCCCTTCCTAAATGCTTTGTTAAAATACTGTGTCAGAAATTGGACTAGGTGTCTAGTTGAACGTGGTGTTTTTTAGCCATGTTATATATCAGGTTACCTAAAACTGAATCTTTGATTAAAGGAAATATAAAACTGGGAAGGACAAATGGAAATAAATATTAGCCCCTTGAAATAGTATCAGTACTAGTTGGGTAATCTCATTGTTCTGTCACATATGCTGTCTATAAATCGTAGTACTTAAAAGGACCACAGTAGTGTCTGAGAATATATACCAGCCCTAAGTGATGGTAATAAAGATAAGGAAGTAACCTCTGCCACCGCCTAAGAGCAAGTGTTTCCCTCCCTCTGATGAAAACAGCATTATTGACAACATCCATGCTACCTAATTTGAGATCAGTTGACAAATGGAAGAGATTTTAGCTGGTAAGGAGTTAAATAAAATTGAAGTGTTGGGGGTGAGGGGAAGAAATGTTATAAAACCCAACTTAAAACAGTTTCCTGAGGGAGTCTGGTTTTATTCCTTTATCCTCAGGTGAGCTGGTCAGAATAACAGTGACACTTCTCACTGCTCATACACTCCTACAGAGCAAGCATAAAGCTAATTACAGGGGGCAGAAGTGGTGAGAGCACATTGCTCCACCTGCCCCTTCCTGTCTGTGTGGTGCTCTCTTGTGGGTGGGGTATTGACACAGCTGTTGGCGGACTTTCAGTTAGTATTTAAATCAGGAAAGCACTTACTACAGTGCTGGCTATAGTAAAGAATCTCAGTAGCAGACAGAAGTGCCACATTATCATAGTACATGTTCCTTTGACTATAGCAGCATATTGAAAGGGTACCATGTCTTATTGAAGATCATATGTAGTAGCCTCAATAGTGGAGCTGAGACCTAACATTATTATATTACCATGACGATGGGGGTAAACTAAATGGAATTACTTAATTGAAACATTTGCATCTATTGATAAAATTAACGGGTGGTAGCAGCATTCAGAACATTAACTATAAATTCATTATATTCTTTCTACGGTCTCGAGGGCCAGTCTTCATGGTAAGGTCTGAATCCATTCTTACCTCAGTAGCTACTATCCTGGTGGCATTGTAGCTAGGGAAAACTACTGATTCAGCCTGTAGACCACTGAGAGTGAGAAGTAAAGTAAGTGCCTCTTTGGCTATTGGGGCAGAAAAATGATCTTTCTTAAATGCTGTGAACGGAGAATGCAATTGAGCAAGATGGCACCAAACAATCTACAGATAAAACTTTTGAAGTCACACCCTCTGTATACCAATTACTTACTTGAGTAGGCTTCACTAATTCATAGCAGTGTGGCACATGCTGGTATATCTCAGAGCCGGTTGACTGTAATCGAATGGGAGGGAAAGGTGAGCAATATTGAACTCAGTACACCTTCACTTGGTTTGGGGAGAATTCAAACAATACTGTCAGAGGTGGAATTTCAATATTTTTAACTAAAATTGTATGAACATTATACAAAATATTGCCGCGTTTAAAAAAAAAAAAACCTATGAAAATAACACTTGAAGAAGTTCATAAGTATGTATATACAATTCTGTGACCTAAAAATAAATTTGTCCTAAGTATCAGTATCTTCATGAGGTTAAATCACCTGTAAATTGTTCTGTGATTCTCTGCTTTTTTTGTCTTAGTTGAACTGTTATCAGAGTAGCAGCCATGTTAGTCTGTATCTGCAAAAAGAACAGGAGTACTTGTGGCACCTTAGAGACTAACCAATTTATTTGAGCAAAAGCTTTTGTGAGCTACAGCTCACTTCATCGGATGCATGAAGTGAGCAGTAGCTCACAAAAGCTTTTGCTCAGATAAATTTGTTAGTCTCTAAGGTGCCACAAGTACTCCTTTTCTTTGAACTCTTATGTTACTGAAGAAAGCTAATGCTTAGTTGTAAAGGTTGACTAAGCTCTGGTCTACGCGAATAGCATAGCTGAAGTCGGCGTATCATAGGTAGACTTACCTGGCCGTGAGGATGGCGGCGAGTCGACTGATGCTGCTCCCCCATCGACTCTGGAGTCGAAGGGGAGCACAGCGCGTTCGGGGATTGATTTATCCCGTCTAGACGAGACACGGTAAATTGATCCCTGATAGATCACTACCCACCGATGCGGTGGGTAATGATTACCTGCCCTAAGAAGCTTTGGAGAAACTCTACAAAACCTATTTAAGGTTTTTAAAGCTTCCTGGGTATTTTAAATCAAATCATTTTAAACAGAGATGGTTATTTGTTAAAATAGTAGTTCAGAACTATTTTAGTCCTGCAGCAGTGATGACAAGAACACCTAACATATATGAATGGGAACAGTAATCCTTGAACCTGTTCAGTTGCGTGTTAACTATTTGTAGAAGAAATCAGCTGGAACTAGACATACAAGGTATATAAAGGAAAATATTTTCACTTAATTAAAAGCATTGATATTTTAGAGTTACTGATGCTTTCTGATCATGATTTTTGCAGTAACTTTTTATTTTAAGCTTTTCTGTTAACCTACTTTTAATGGCATAAAAACATTTAAAAATTACCTATAGCACTTTAGGTTACTGAAGATGAAAACTCTTGAAAAATTGAAATGGTTTTGTATTCAGGTGAATCTTTGCATTTGATCAATAAAACAAACAGCTCATTTACACTACACATCTCTCCTCTATGAATACAAATTTTTGTCCTGTTAGCAGCATTGCAGGAAAGATGAAACTTGAACTTTTTAAAACAGTACACTAAAACAAAGTTGTTGCAAAATCTTCAACTGCTTGATGATCCCCATTAAGTGTGAATCAGTCTATGATTACAGCATTTAATTACACAAAACTCAACTATGACGAGATATGTGCAATGATATTTGAAATAAAACAGTTCAGTAGTACCTCTTGGCCAGTTAAGCTGTCCTAAACTTAAGTCCAGTGTTGTCTTTTGAGCTCACATGTCACCAGTTAATACTGGATATCATGGGGAAAAAGCCACATGTGAACCACTTAGTCTAGGAAATTAGTTACTTCAGTAGTATAGTAAAAATTTAAAAAACAAAGAAAACCCAAAACTTTTTATAATAGACTATTGACAGTATCTTGGTCTATATATGGGAAGAGTAGCTAAATCCAGAAGGAACAAATGTATTCAGAAATACAACATGAAAACAAATTAATTCCAACCTGAAAGCATGGCTTGATTTTCCATTCTTAAAACAGACACGGGTTACCCTTTCAGTCTCTCCACTTACTGGCTTTTGTAAACATATTACAGAAGGCTCAAGAGCAAATCTTACAATAGGTTTTCTGACTCTTTCAAATGTGAACATGAAACCACTAAAAGTATCCATTAAAATTGGGCTGTTGTAAAGAGGGGAAAACTTATTGATACGTACTGTTTCATAATTTTTTTTGTAAATTTTAAAAAGCAATTTTATTTGCTGTTACAGATTATAATACATAGAATTTGAACATTTAAATATAGTTGATCTTGAAAAACTAGTTACTATGGTTTTTAACAAACAGATTGCATCTATTGTTAACACACATTGAGCATAATGTGGCTGCAGTCTTTGTAAAGTGAAATAACCGCAATTATAAAATTACTTTGCTCCCCTTTTTCAATTTCAAAGATAACAAGGGTTCTTAGACTTTTTTCCACTAAAAGTTAGCATTAACTATTTATATCTTAAGCTATTTCAATTATCTTAATATGCCTGTCCAAAGCTTCCAACTGATTATCAAAAAAACTTTTAAAATTTCAACAGTGCATACCAGTCTGGAAGAATGGTCAGAAAAACTTGCCAGCCAATCATTAATCTGTAGGTAAACAGTCATAATGATGGTGAGCGAAGGAAAAGGACACCTTAGTCGCTTGTCCAAAAAAAAAAAAAAAAAAAAAAGTAGTAATATCTAAACTGAAATTTGCAAGGTTGTTGAGCTAAAAGAAATTGCTTGGGTGCTAATTTATATGATTGCAAATATACATTCTAAGATAAATTGAGGTAGACACAATTGTCAATAGAACGATTAAGTCCTGTTTGTCAACTTCTGTAAACTAAGAATTTCATTCAAAAATAAACTTAATAAATAAACAAGAAAAGTAAAAACCAAATTGAACATCAAGTTAATCTGTTTCTGTGCAGTTTCCTAACGGAGGAGGATAAAAAGGATTTGAAAATGAGCTTAAAGTTGATGAGGAATTTTACCTGATCACATACCTAGCACTAAAATGCCATAATGTGTGGGGGGGGGGGGGGAGGAGGGGGTCATTTTTTTGTTTTTGCTTTTGCGGTTAGATACAGTAAAGAGCTCATAGCAGAAACAATGTCTAGTGCTGCACAGCTTCTCCTTCACACAATGAACAATGCCTTTGAGCTGGAATTCAGAGGCAGTCCACTGTTGCTGGAGGGTCCAGAACTGAAACCTGCCTTTAGACTCAGGCCACCAGAAATTATGCAGCTTTTGCTGGAACTCATCTTGTCCCATCCACTTGGTTTACACTTTTGATTTTTGTCAACTTCTAGCACCGGTCTCTCTCTCTCTCTCTCTCCCCTCAGATTAGAGATACTTATAGTAGTAAGGGTGTAGTTTTCTGGTTTCTCCAGTACAGCAACTATCTAGCAAGTTCCTTCTGCTCCCACCACAACTATTAGGAATAGCTCTGCAAGCCTGGAGCAAAGTCTAAGAGGTCCGACTTTTCTGGAAGACCAGAGGGCAAGCTATGTCCTGCTGCTGTAAGCCACCAACCCTTTTAATGGGAGGGTGTGGTGATTTGAGTTGGACAAGCTGGGTGGGAGTCTTGACTCCTGTCTGAAGTCACAGCTCTTCCGCAGCAAGGCTTTCTCAGGGTCATGGAACCCCTCTCAGCCTACTCATGGAGGTAAGTCATGCAAATTTGAGAGGCTATGGGTTGCAAAAGTACAGAAGTAAGCATCCCCTTCACAAGGCAGCAACTCTAAAGCTTCAAACATAGGATAAGAGATTT